ATATACTCTATTTTTTTATATAATGTTGTACTTGATAATTTTTCTTTTTTATTATAGAAAAATAAATTAATTATCAATAGAAAGTTTATGATGTTTTAGTTATTAAAAGAATAAATACAAATTTTTCCATTCTTATACATATCATGATATGGATTTAGTCCACTATATGGGATATTTGAAGGTTGAATCTTCTTTTATATATTAAATCATTAATAAAGTTTAATGAGATAGTAAAATTCAATTTAATCGTATTTATCTAGAAGCTGATGTCTAAAATTTATTTGGATGGTATGAATATTTGAGTTATTCTAACACAATACAAACAATATCTGAAGTTATAGTTTAATAAGAAGGTGCATTTTATTACATAGAAGCTTATCATTTTAATGATGGATCAGGTGGATATCGTAGTTTCTCTAAGGAAATTGATAAGTTCAGCTATAAAGTCAAATTCATTAAACAGTATTTATGAAGTATCAATATCCTATACACCAATGAAAGAAGTTATATCATTCATTGTATATAATTCAAATGGAAATACTTTATTAGCAGACAAGTATAAACTTTAATTCACTTTTTGGTAATAAGATAACTTCATAAAAAAGTGATGATATTTATATGATATAGTAGGAACTAAATCATAAAATATTAATTTTATTTCTGTTACATATACTTCATTATGAGTTTAATTAAGAGGAGGAATGCCATGTAATTATTTAATTACTGCTAGAAAAGATTATGGTAATTTATATGCTAATACTTTTGATAATTTACTTAAATAAATCATCCATTACAACATTGTTACTTTTGGAATATGGTTCTAGTTAAAAAAAAGATTCTAAAGCTGGTGGAACTGTTATTCATATCACAGGATGTAATTTCATTAAAGGAAAAATTTTTGTATTTGTTGGTATTGCAGTAAATTGGTTTTATGAAAGTATATTCACAATTGAAGTCATTTATTGTACAGCACCAACAAAATATTGATTTTAAAGTGAACGTGTTTATTTAGTAGTTCTAGCATTATAAATAAACTTGAAACAATATGTTTTGACACTAACATTAATTGAAAATTTATTTATGATCGTACTTTGACTCCAAGTTCTTAACAATTATCCAGAATCTGCTACTTAATTTACTGGATCAAGAATTTTGACAGAGGAGGATCATTAAAAAGCAGACTATAAAAAATTAAAATAAAGAATGAGATTTTTATGGACAGAAAAATTAAAAAAATAATGAAATGATTATCTCTTAAATCTTGTTAGATCCCCCGCAAGATATATGTTAACATCTGGTGATTTCGTAATAAAAAAGTTATCCTCCATGAGATACAGGAACATTAATGTGAACAGGATTAACAAGTGTTGTGTCAATAGTATTCAAAGGTCCAATAAGTTAAACTGTAACAACTACTATTTCTGGTTCTTCTTTGAATTATACTATTCCAAATTTACCATAAGGATATTACTCAACTTATTTTTAACTCCCAATTTTTATACAGATAAGACCTTGGTTACAGTAATTGAATTAAGTATTACATAAATTGTGCTGCCCCAATAGATGGTTAACTTCTGGCTATAAATGGAGTTGGATTTAATGCTAATAAAGCTCCACGTTTTAAAGTTGAAACAACAATTTGTACTGAATTAGAATTAGTTTCCAGTGTAGAAATTAAATGTAGAATGGCAGATGATCAGGAATATCTGCAGTTGTAACATTATATAATAGCTTTCTGAAAATGATTCAGCAATACCTTATACAGCAACTTATACTTTAATAATTAACCCATCTTCTTGTTCTCTTACATTTGCAGCAATTAGTTGTGCTACATATGATTCAACTTAACCGTCTTATTTGGCTACCTCTGGAAATTTTGCTCTTGTATTCAGAGGTGTTATATATTCTGGTGCTAGTATTGTTGTTACATTGGAAAACATGATTCATAAAATAACTAGAACCTGTTTCAGCATAATCAAATAGTCATTAACAGCTACCTTTTCAAATTTACCAGTATGAGTCTATTTGATTTATGTATCATTTGACACTAAATATGCATACATTGGCGATTTTACTAAATTTCAATTGATTGTTTAAGTAGGTTTAGCAACTTCTAATAATCCAACAGTATCCTATGTTGGTGTAATGATTACATTTACAGGAACATCTTTTGACACTCTTAAATATTAAAATGTTATTTTCCTATTACAAGTGCAACATAGACTGCACTTTCATGTGAAGGTCCTAAATTATTGAAAAAATCTATTATATATTAATATTCTGCATTGTAAGAGCCTGCATGAAATATTAACCATCAGAAGTAAATTTATTAGGAGATATTCAAATATACAAAAGATGATACTACTTGGTAGACTTTATCAACAGTTGATTAAATTGTTCATACAGTTTGGAATATTTATGTAACTTAATGAGATATCACTGGTATTAAAGAAATTAGATCATTTGATTCAAGAGGAATTACTGGTTCATCATATTGATTAGCAGAAATTGAATTATCAGATTTAATATTATCAAATAGAAATAATGCTTAATCTGTCCCAACATCATATAATGCAGAAATTTCAGTAAATGTATAAGCTATTGGTATATTATCAAATACAATTAATTATCCCTTAATTATTGTTAATATTGTTAATATTGCCACTCCAGCTACAGTTAGATTTACTGAAGAAGCAGTTTTTTCTATTGCTGGTCTAGAATTAGTAAATGCTTAAACTACAGCAATTAATGATGCAGTAATAAGTAATATTAAAAGAGTTACAGCAACTTAAATCGTATGTAAAACTTGAATCAAGGATATAGAATAGAACTGATGGAAATATAGTAGTGAACAATAAAAAATACATATATGATACAAAATGGGTAGATATCATATATTTGGAGTGGATATGAATATCCATGAAATGGAGATTCATGTATTGTTAATGTTGGAGAAACTTTGATAGTATATGTCAAAAAACCTAAATCGATGTACATTTTAGTTGAAAGGACTCTCTAATTCTTTGATGAATTAGATACATCTATGGATGCTCATTATGTTGTTATTAGAGAAGCCAAACTCAATGTCCCGAATTATTGACTCATGAATATAAAGTATATTACTTTTTATAGTGTTCAAGAAACTGTATAAATGCCTACTACTGGTAATAACATTATTGTCAACACACATTTTAAGCAGGAGCAACTCAAATCATAGGGGATGATGGCGTAGACTGGAAGGTAGTAGAATATATTGTCATAAAATCCATTGAATTTGAACATATGCATTACTGATGTTAGTTTTGCACCAAAACTTTTAGACTTGATTTACAACTTACATATAAATATATTAATCAGCTATGTTTAATGATTCATGGAATGCCTGAGAAAAGAGCTATAAGTAAAATATCAAATTCAGAATTCAGATATGGTAGTTAAACCAAGAATTATTGGTAGAGATCCTATTTATTTCTACTTGAATGGAGAAGTATAAGAATCATATTATGATTTTTGTACTCTTTGTTTGACTATTCATGGTGTTCATTATTTGAAGGTTCAAAAGAATATCTGTTATAACACTTTTGGATATGTTATTTTCTTCAAAAATGGTATCTTCAACAAATAATGTTGTTGAAGATAATCTTGCAATTATGAAATAAACTTGCATCATGTTATAAACACATCTCACTGTAGGTGCATATTGGGTTACAAAAGCATATAGTATATTAAGAATGAATGGCTCAGGAGGTTCATAATTGTATGGATTTTTGTATAAACTACAATAAATTCTTAGATGGACCGTCTTCTACTTAAGATATTTATCCTCCAGGTCTAAATATACTTGAAATTAAGGAGAATTAGCCAATTTCAAATCGTAGATTTTGACTTCGTATTTTCTAAATGGTAGCAAAAAAATTCTATTGTTTAGAACCTCTATATATGGTCTAATGATTAACCATACATAGATAATCCAAGTTTAGAAAAATAGTGAGTGTGTTATTTTCGGAGAAGAATTGGGTAACATTAATTTTAAAGACATTATTTTAGTTGATTTTAAATTTACAGGCTACTAAGCTCGCAAGGTTAATTTTTCAGCAGAATGAGCTGTTTAAGATGATACATTAATTATTGGTACATCTAGTTTAAATGGAAATCTGATAATACTTATTATCAAGAACAAATAGAGTTTTAACTAATAAAATNGTATATTATCAAATACAATTAATTATCCCTTAATTATTGTTAATATTGTTAATATTGCCACTCCAGCTACAGTTAGATTTACTGAAGAAGCAGTTTTTTCTATTGCTGGTCTAGAATTAGTAAATGCTTAAACTACAGCAATTAATGATGCAGTAATAAGTAATATTAAAAGAGTTACAGCAACTTAAATCGTATGTAAAACTTGAATCAAGGATATAGAATAGAACTGATGGAAATATAGTAGTGAACAATAAAAAATACATATATGATACAAAATGGGTAGATATCATATATTTGGAGTGGATATGAATATCCATGAAATGGAGATTCATGTATTGTTAATGTTGGAGAAACTTTGATAGTATATGTCAAAAAACCTAAATCGATGTACATTTTAGTTGAAAGGACTCTCTAATTCTTTGATGAATTAGATACATCTATGGATGCTCATTATGTTGTTATTAGAGAAGCCAAACTCAATGTCCCGAATTATTGACTCATGAATATAAAGTATATTACTTTTTATAGTGTTCAAGAAACTGTATAAATGCCTACTACTGGTAATAACATTATTGTCAACACACATTTTAAGCAGGAGCAACTCAAATCATAGGGGATGATGGCGTAGACTGGAAGGTAGTAGAATATATTGTCATAAAATCCATTGAATTTGAACATATGCATTACTGATGTTAGTTTTGCACCAAAACTTTTAGACTTGATTTACAACTTACATATAAATATATTAATCAGCTATGTTTAATGATTCATGGAATGCCTGAGAAAAGAGCTATAAGTAAAATATCAAATTCAGAATTCAGATATGGTAGTTAAACCAAGAATTATTGGTAGAGATCCTATTTATTTCTACTTGAATGGAGAAGTATAAGAATCATATTATGATTTTTGTACTCTTTGTTTGACTATTCATGGTGTTCATTATTTGAAGGTTCAAAAGAATATCTGTTATAACACTTTTGGATATGTTATTTTCTTCAAAAATGGTATCTTCAACAAATAATGTTGTTGAAGATAATCTTGCAATTATGAAATAAACTTGCATCATGTTATAAACACATCTCACTGTAGGTGCATATTGGGTTACAAAAGCATATAGTATATTAAGAATGAATGGCTCAGGAGGTTCATAATTGTATGGATTTTTGTATAAACTACAATAAATTCTTAGATGGACCGTCTTCTACTTAAGATATTTATCCTCCAGGTCTAAATATACTTGAAATTAAGGAGAATTAGCCAATTTCAAATCGTAGATTTTGACTTCGTATTTTCTAAATGGTAGCAAAAAAATTCTATTGTTTAGAACCTCTATATATGGTCTAATGATTAACCATACATAGATAATCCAAGTTTAGAAAAATAGTGAGTGTGTTATTTTCGGAGAAGAATTGGGTAACATTAATTTTAAAGACATTATTTTAGTTGATTTTAAATTTACAGGCTACTAAGCTCGCAAGGTTAATTTTTCAGCAGAATGAGCTGTTTAAGATGATACATTAATTATTGGTACATCTAGTTTAAATGGAAATCTGATAATACTTATTATCAAGAACAAATAGAGTTTTAACTAATAAAATTAGAATTCATTATCATATAATTAATTCTGAGTTAAATTTATCATAATTGTATTTACAGGTAAAAAGAAGGGAAATCTTTTGCGATTAAGATGCTAAAATTTCAGAATTAAGTTGTGGAGCTTATATTATAGCATAGAAAAAAGATATTGATAGAAATTTACAATTTGTTAATCATCCATAGGATTATTTGGATAATTCTATTATTTGTGCAATGAATTACGTTACCAATAAAGTTGGAATTTATAATCCTACTCCAGTACAAGATTTTACAGGAACTGATATGAGACTTTATAGATTGAATAGCACGAATATTAGACTAAAAATAGTCTTTTTGAAAATTATAAAGTAGAGCTATGATTTTAAAATATCATTTGCAAGTGTTTTTGGGCACGCTTCACTTATCATATACATTTTAAATTTGGAGCAAATGATTCATCAAGTATGGGTATCTTTGCCTCTCATTACTTTAATTAAGCAGATGATACTGTATTTGTTAGATATGATTATTCTGCTAACAGACAAACATTTGATATTTTGAGAAAAATAGTAGGATTATTCCCTATAAATTACCCAAATGTTAATAAATGGCAAATATTAACACTTGAAATTAGGGTGATTTTTATGATGATAAAACAATTAAATTATTCTTTTTATGCTTATCTGGTAAGAATAAGAAGCTATTTGACTATGTTGAGCTCAGATAATTTATTTTTAGATAACAATGTGATAGATTAGGAGATATACCTTTGGAAGATGAATTTAGATATTGCAGTAATCCTGCAACTTGAATATATAATAATGAACCTGTTTATATCATGTTATCTTGGATGTCTATCTAAACTTGTTATTTAACTATTTTGGATCATTAATTTTTGATGAGAGAAAACCATCTACTAAATTAGAAGAAGATAGAATTTGTGTTAGATGAGGAACAGTATTTGCTTGTAATTAAACTCATGCATTACCTGGAAAAATTAATAATAATCCATTAGTAATTGATGCTACTTTAGATATGTTTAATAATTTTCTTGCTGTCACAAGAACTATGGAATTGTATTCAACTGCACCTGGAATAGTATTGATTAGATTGGTTAGTTAAGAAGAGGCTGGTTTAACAACTATTATATAAGCAGAATTTGTTGATTGGGTTGTTGGTTACGATATTGTATTTGGCCATTTAGGTAGCAATCCAGAATGAAGAAAGATAAGATCATATTTCATCTATTTCTAGATGTGGTATAACTTTAAATAAGAATATGATTTTGATAATTATGGTGCTCCTTCTGTTAGCCTGGAATATACCATATCTAAGCCTTGAATAGGACTATTAGATATAAGAGCTGTTGTTACACATTTAAAAGAAAAATACACATTTAAGGAGGGCCTAGTATTCATAATTTTGGATGCAGAGTTTTAATTTATTAATTTGAAGAACCTGAAGCTAATTTTTGATTCCAAGAAGAGGATACACTGTTTTACATGTATTGAACCTTTTTCATTGTGGTTTATATGATAATCAAAAAAGTGGGTTAGATTTTATAAATCTTAATAGTGATATAATTAAGAGTTCAAGTGAAGTTGTAGAATGCTCCTACTTATATGTTAATAACTGATGAAGATTCATATTATATTACAACAAATAATAATATATTCTTTGCTGGTATCAAAGCTTTGGTGTAGATTAATATCGGTTAATATGTGGGTTGTATTTGCCTATCTTATTACATGGATGAATTAGTATCATCTAAAATTACAATATAAATAGTAAATATATCTGCAAATGTTGGAGGATAAGGATCATAAGTTACAGGATTCTGTTTTTATGCCAAGTATATGTTCATACGCAGATCAACATTGATTCTATAATAATCATTTTCTCAGGTACTATGTTTTCTTGTTTTGGTGAGAAATAAAATCCTAAAAGTTAATGTTGTTACATATCAGGATTATATGCTCATCATAAGGAAGTTGGTATTATGTATGCAGTTTTATTGAGTAGAGATAACTTGAAAAATCAATGCTATTTGAGAATGAATAAGGCATAGCATTGAGACCTTGATATTCAAACAGAAAGGATAGATAAACTAATATTATGCTTTAAATTTATGTGTATATCTGATATTAATATGTGTGATTTAATCAAATAAATTTTATAAGTAGCAAATAGTGAAGAAAAATTATAATTATGTTATAGCCTCTCTTTGATCAATTTCTTAAATATTTGTAGAAAAATATTAATAAATAATTAATCATACTTCATGGAGTTATTCCTTCTTTTACAATTATATCTCTTTTTAGACACTATCATCAGATAATAATTTCCATTATTAGTATTGCTCAAAGAAGGGTAAGTTAATTCATCATCATGCCTGCTAAATAATTTTAATTTCTAGAAGTTAGTAATTTGATGAGGATTATTTTAAATCAAATCGTAGTTAATAAGTAATTGAAGAAAATTAGGTAGCATTTTTACAATTTAGTAACCCAATAGATATTTGATGAAAATTTCTTAAACCATCTTAAATAGTAAAGAACTCTAGAAATTTATTGATGTAACAAAGAAAAGGACTCAGAATTTCTTAAATTTGCAGTTTCTTGAAATTTGCAAGGTTCAAATGAAATTATTCTGAAAAAATTCAGTTAATTTCGCTTCAAAAAAGTCATGTTTGATAAATTCCACTTGATGTACTTATTTCTATTGATCCATATAATAAAAAAGAGTAAAGACTCATCAATAAAATATATAAAAAAATTAAAATTCTAATTAAATTAAAGGTATGAATAAGGAAGGATTTCAAAGTTATTCTTTAAAGAATTTGATTATCGATAAATATTTTGCTTATATTAAAAATTAGAAGATTAAAGAGGATATCATCTGTCTAAATTTAATGTATAATTGATAGAGTACTGATAAAAATCATCTTAATTAGGAGTGGAATACAAATTTGAGAAGCAGATTTTATTATGCTTTCATCAAAAGAAATCTCACAAGCTTGGTTTTTATCTTTTAATTCTATATGAATAATACTAAAGTTAATTAATGAAGTTGTTTTTTAAACTAATTTTTAATTTTTGCTAAAATTTTAAATAATATTTGGAAAGTTATCCAATTTCAACTTAAGATATGCTCTTCTAAATGATATTTGACAATGTTTAGCAAATAAAGTCTTCAATTGATTATTGAACATCAGAGATTATCATATTTAAAATTTAAAGTTAATCACATTTACTTTGTTAATTCGAATGGAAACTCCAAAAAGAGATTCAATAATCAAGAGTTATTTTCAGAATAAATCCTTTCCAATCTAGTAATATAATACTTATTTGCATAAAATGTATATACTTGAATTGGATTATTAATATATTAGATAGTATTAGAAATTTCTAATTTAATTATAATGAGTTTGTATAATATTTTAATAGAATTATAAAAAGATTTAATATTAATATTAATTATGAATCAAAATAATGATACTAATCTCAAATGCCCTAATTCAGAACATGTCAATAATGTAAAATTAGTATGTGTTAATGAATCTTGTAAAGCAGATAGATTATAATGCATTTAATGTATATAAAATGGAATTCATGTTTCTCATCTTTAAAATTAATAAGATTTACCATTTTTGTTTTACAATAATTCAAATATTGAAAAACAATGTGAAGACTTAATTATAGATTTGAATAAAATTAATGGATATGGCTTATTAATAATTCTAATTTTTGATTGGAGGAAGTAGATCAAAATATCAGAAATCTAAACATTAATTCCTTGAATTAGATTCTAAATAAAAGAATTCTTTCTTTGCAGAAAGTATTAGAATCAAATCATTTTAACAAACTAACTAAATAAATCAAATAATCAATAAAAGAGTTTCAAGATTTAATTGTAAAATAATTATCTAATTTAAAATTATCTGAATTAAATCTTTATCAAATATCTAATTTAGATTTTAATAAATCAGAAGAATTACATAAAAAAGGTAATAAATATATTAAATTAGGTTAAGAAATAAATATTTATGGTCCAAATTCAATTATATATTAAGATGATAAAAATTTTTAAGATACAATTAAAATATTTGATGAATCACTAATTTTTAATCCAAAACATTCTCTTTCATTATGGTGTAAAGGTATGATTATTATTTAAAATGTTAGCGAGCAGTTTAAGGATGCTTAGTTAATACAATGAAGCAATCGTCTGTGCAGATAAAGCATTGTAAGTAGATCCAAAACATTGTAATTTATTATGTACCAAAAGTACTAATTATTTTTGATATGAAGGTAATTCATAAGATTATTGAAAATGTTTAAGTAATCTATGGTATTGATTGAGTAATCTCTATAAATTAATCCAAATCACTTTGATTCATTGAGGGCAAAAGGTGAAAGTATCTTTTTAATTAATAGGTATATGTTTACAAGATTAGAATTAATATTAAGAAGCTTTAATATTTTATGAAAAAGCACTCAAGATCAATCCAAATAATTAATGGACTAGAGACAGAAAAGGGATTATCTATACCAAATATTTAGATGAATGTTTAAAAGCTATTAATTAAAAATGAGTTTTTATAAGTATACAGACTGAAAATATATTAATATCATATTTAATATTTCGACACCTCAATCATTCATTTTGTTTCGTACTTCATTAATTGTTAGGAAATTAACCATTTGAAAGTTTAAATATTTTAAGTTACAGCATTTAAAATACCCAAAACTAATATGTTTTAATTTATCTTAATATTTATTAACTTGTTATTTACTAATCATATACTTTATAATATTTATTTATGGGAATCTTATTATAAATATTCTCTTAGATATTTAAAAGACTGAGTGCATCATATTGGCACACATGGTGTGGATGTGAATTTGTAATAACATTAAACTATTATTACGTTGCAATTAAGTTTAATTTTTAATAATAATTTTAATTCTGAAGAAAAATTTGTATGGAAATGTTTATTTAAAATATTTCAATATTGTATTACAGGTTTAAGAAAAAACAATGCTTGCCTTAAGGTAATTGGAAAATAAACAAACTACCATTATATTATAGCACTAAATATCTGTTTAATTTATTGGATGTTTTTAAAAATTGTTAAATCATACATCCATATCTTTAGGACAAATTTTCATTCATTATTACTGAAGCAATAATTACTTTAATATATTAGATTATAATATAAACAAATATTCTAGCTCCTAATTTTAATGAAAAAGACTCTCTTAATTAGTCTCTTCGCTTCTAAACCATTTGATAAAACCAACTCTGTTTTCATAGATTATTTCAGAATTATTTCTTAATCAATATAAATTCTTTTATTCTATTATATGTTTTTTTTACTTTATCTGCAATTAATATTTTTTTATTGTTGTTCACAAATGCTCGAGAAAACTAAATTTTAAATAGAGCATCCAAAAATTGAATTGAATAAATAAAACCTTACAAACATATCAAAAGTTTAGATTAATTTAGAGCACTCTGGTTTTTAACACATGATATATTTTTCTCTCAGTTTATTCAAAATATCTTGATGGTATTTCAAATTTTCTTAATAAAATTTAGAATCTTAACTTTTTTTTGGTAGTAATTTCGTCAATTTAAGAGTCTTTCCTAGTTATCTTGCTAGTTTAATTTAAATACATTCAACTCACCTTCAACAGATTATTATCGTTCAAGTTTTTTGTATATTGTCTTTATATACTCTTAAAATTAATCCTAAGTCTATAATTATCAATCTTCTCATCCCCAAAAAAATAAATACGTTAAAATTAGACTTATTTTTAATCTCTTAAGCAGAAATTATTTACCCTCATTAAACTTTTCGATTGGGAATTTCTAACATTCATATACAACTAATTAAATATTACTATATATGAAAATCTAAATATTGAGGGTTCATAGTGATGGACAGGTTATTCTTGATTAATTATTATTATATGAAATCTTTCTTTTTAAATAATTTAAACTATTTTAACTCATCAAATTTAGTAAAATCCGCCTTTAGATTATTTATTAATGGAGCCTATAACGCCATATATTTTGTCCATTTTACACTTGTTCGAGTATGGTATTGTCGGGTTATTCTTGAGGTTCATGGCGTACACTTCAAACCAGCTCTAGACCATTCTTTTAATTACAATTCTTCTTCTGAAAAATTTTCATTTTATTTTTATTCCTAAAATAAATAGAATAATGCTCATTTGTATTAATAATTTATAAAAACACATTTTTGGGCTCGTGAAATTTTGGTTTTTTTTGGCTTGAGAAAAAACCTAAAAAATTTTTATTAGGATATTATTTAATTGAATAACTTGAATTTGTTAATAATGATTTGGTTATTATATTCGTATACATAAAAATTTTTAAACTTTGGAAGATATGAAAAAATGTTTAAATGTTTAACAATAAAATATTCAAAATCACTTATCCTTC